GAATAGAACCCTTAACCATTTATTTTTTTTACCTTGCATATCCGGAAGAGATCAGATGAGTCCTCCTTCAAATGGATTATTAGGCCGGACAGGGCTACTGTTCTAATGACATTCATGTCATTCTTCTCCTGAAAAGACAACACATTAACAAACATCTAAATATGATGATTTGAATTTAAGTCACTTACCTGTTCATAAACTGTCAGAAGTTGTTCCATCTTTTCCCCCCAGGGACCTGATCTCTTCTTTTTGTAAAGCTCAATGAGTTTTGGTGCGTATTTATCAAGCGAAGCATAGAAGAGATGGGGCAGGTTCTCATTAGTTATCCAAAGAAACTCGCTGTAGAGCTGGGGGGAGGGAGCATGAGGTGTCAAAAATGTAGAGCACAAATAAATACAATTTTCCAGTAAATGTGATTTTTTTTTTGCCTCTGTTAAAGATTTACCTTTTAACATGTTTCGTCGGTCTTGACTTAGTCTTCGCAGGGGATGACAACCACCTGAAAAAATGAAAATAAAGAAATCATGAGAACTCGAGATTATATATCAGCAAAAACATTAAGACTTTTAATGTATACACCTTTTGAAAACAAGACTTAAGTATAAATACTGACATAATACTGATTGACATGGACTGACCCTCAAAATTTGAGTGTGAAAATCACATCTAAAAAAGAGGTAGTCGTAATAAGGCTTAATCTTAAAACAACGTAAAGACATGTATTTTTCTGTATGTATTTACATGTCGATAAATAACTGTACGAAACATAACATTGAATTATTTCATAATTTCACTGCGACTGAAACGTAAATGTAAATCTGTCAAGTCACTCGTCAAACTGAGAAGGCGGGACTTCCTGTGCTTTGGGCGAGTCAATTTCACTCAGTTTCTGAGGCTCCTTTTTATTAAACTCTGCAGGGTTCCCCTGAAGTGAAATTGACTTGCCAAAGCACAGGCCGGACCAAGTCCCGCCTTCAGTTTGACAAGTGACTGACAGATTTACATTTCATGGTCGCAATGAAATCAATTAAATGTGTGTGTGTGATTGATATATTATGTTTCTTAAAATGTATTGACAAAAGTATTTCTGTAAACATTGTTTCATCACATGTATTGGCACATTTAATTATATAAATATTACATCTTGGATCTTTGTTGTAGCAATGGCTAAATATGGTCAAAAATATTTTCCCCTTTCTGGCAGTACAGACGTACACCCACACAAGCAGTATGTGGATAATTTCAGATTCAGATTCAGATTCATTTATTGGCCATGTGCAGTATAAAAACTACATTGGAATACATTTGCAAAAAGAGGTACTCTGTGTGCACCGACAGAATAAAAGCACGATACATTGTAATATAAATACACATACACTGAATATAAAATAATAATAAAAACAGCTGACACTGTGGCACCGATCAACAAAACAATACAAGGGGTAAAAGCAGGAATTAAAGTGCTCTGTTTAGGCACCTAACAGCCTGTGGAAAGAAGCTGTTAGCATAGCGCGATGTCTTGCATCTCAGTGACCGATATCTTCTGCCAGAGGGAAGAAGCTGGAACATGGCTTTCCCAGGGTGGCCAGAAGAGTCACCGATGATTTTAAGAGCTTTGTTTAAAAGTCTGGATTTGTAAAGAACCTCCAGAACAGGAAGCTCACAGCCCACGGCCCTCTTTGCAGAGCGGAGCACCTTGTTTAAAGCTCTCTTTTCTTTATCTGTGATGTTTCCAAACCACACAGACACAGAACCAACAAGTAAACTCTCAATGGTGCAGCGATAAAAGTTAAGCAGAATCTTAGAGTTAGTGGTAAATTCTCTAAGTTTCCGCAAAAAGAAGAGCCGCTGACGAGCTTTCTTAACAACCCGGTCAGTGTTTTTAACCCATTTCAGGTCGTTAGACAGAGTTAAACCCAGGAACTTGCACTCCTCTACGATCTGCACCTGGGAGTTGTCAATAACAACAGGAGTGTGAGAACTGCTGCGACTGAAGTCAAAGACAAGTTCACATGTTTTTGCAGTGTTCAGCTGGAGATTGTTTACTTTACTCCACTGAAAAACATGTTCGATCTCTGCTCTATAAGAGGAATCATCATTGTCACTGATGAGACCGATGATGGTGGTGTCATCAGCATATTTGATGATCAAATTTGAGTGAGTGTACAAAGTAAAAAGCAGAGGACTCAAAATACATCCCTGAGGAGAACCAGTGCTCACAGAAACAACATCAGAAAAACAGTCATTGATTTTTACTCTCTGAGATCTGTCAGTTAAAAAGCTAAAAATCCATTTACACATGGCAACATTCAGACCAAGGGACATTAGTTTTTCAACCAATATGCTTGGGACAAGACAATTAAAAGCAGAGCTATAATCAATGAACAGCATTCTCGCCACAGATTTACTAGTGTCCAAATGAGTGTAGACAGAGTTCAGAGCAAAGGAGATGGCATCCTCCACACTCCTGTTCTGTCTGTAAGCAAACTGGAGCGGGTCAACACTCACAGGGATCTGGCTCTTAATAAACTCCAGCACGAGCCGCTCAAAAGTCTTCATAAGAACAGACATGAGGGCCACAGCGATTTGGGTGTGTTTTCATAGGCAAATATTAGATTTATTTAGTTTCAATTTTGGGCATTTAAAAAAAAGGCATTCAATTTGGTATTCAGTTAAGACGTGACTATCACTGTACCTAATTCCAACTAAATTGGAGATTTTGCTGCTGGAGGCTCTGGTCCATTTGACACAGACTGACCCTATAACCAAAGAAGAAATTGCTTACCCACAAAGCAGCAAATTGAGGGATGGCTTCTTGTCGCTAGTCTACACAGGAACCCAATTTCTATTCAGAGTGACAGAAAAAATATGTTGAAGTGACAAAGTCAAAGTCAGTGAAAACATACAACAACAAACAAATTCACAGAATTATTGCAAAACAAGATTTAAACAGTACAATTTGGTAACTATTTACTGTGTGGGTTCTAGGTTATATATGCAGTAAATACGCTCTCAAAATACATATTTTCTAATCTGAATTTCATATTCAGACATTTACTCCCGAACATGAATACGTTTCTCTCAAATACAATGAACCGAGGTCTTGACGGTCCTTTTCTCCTAGCATAGCACCACGTGATTAAACAAAATTAAGCTAACATCATGCTAACGCCATGCTTTCAAAATGAAGCAATCCCCGATACCACGAGCATCATCAAAAATACTGTTCAAGCATGATAAGTAAACGTGAATTTCAACTGTAATAAAACAGCAACCAACATACGTCGTCGAACCACGACTTTACGCACTTACATGCCTATGTAAGTGCTCGCTCCTTTACATATCCTAGCATGACGCAATGTGACTTAGAAAAATTAAGCTAATGCTAACATTAAGGTAATGGACGCTAGCCCCTCGACCACGAGCAACCATACGAGCAACATCGAACATGTTGTTTAAACCTCAAGTAAACGTGAATAAAAATGAGAAAACTACGCACACTAACCATGACTTTACAGATACGAATGTACGTAACGCTAGCTCCTTTTGCTATTGTAGTACAGGGCCATGTGACAGAGCAAAGTTAGGCTAAAGAGTTAGCTCTATCAGATATGGCAAAAGCATGTTCTTAGCAGAATTATAGAAACTACAGAGTATACATGTAAAGCACACGTTAAATCACCCAATGTATGTCTGTCGTTGCTCCTTTAAACTTAATAGAAAGGCGCCATTCGGCAAGAAAAAACTATAGTAGCACTGGCGATATCAATATGGCGCTAACCCGGTCCCAGTCATAGGCAGGGATGGAACGGTGCATATCTATGCAGATTAAGCAAAAGTCAAATCCGTTCGCTAAACTCGACTTTACACGGGTTCTATGGCACATTACAATCTATCAAAGTTATGTAAAGTGATGCTAATTACCGAGTGAAGTCGTCCGGACACGACGTGCGCTCTCATTTCTTCTGAAGACTGAACGACGAGGTTAAGACCGTGTGCAAAACTAAAGTCAAGAGGAGCGTTCACACTCACCTGCGCATGCGTAGTCAGAGAAAACAAATACATAAATGGATATTGATTATTGTTTCATTTGAATAAATAAAATGTAAGCAATCAACCACTTAAATAATGAAATAGTACTACCAGCTCTGTACCTGACAAAGTTGTTATATATGAAGAAATTAAAGTCTTATGACTGATAAATTAGCAGTCTGAACACACCACACATGGAAAATCCATCAGATTATTTTTACAAATATCGGAACGTTCTTAAGATTGTCGTTAGGGGTAAATCAGGTCTTAAATCGGCCTAATTATCCTGTCGTGTGAACTGTTTCGCTTCAGCTTGTTGTTGAACAGGTTCTAAAACTGTCACAAAATCTAGTGAAAAAGTAATTTCAAATAAAAAGAAAATATATAAAATAAAATATCAATAAATCTGTTTAATGTAAAAAAAAAGTCTAAATGTTTCTTTTTAAATAAATAAAACCTCAAACCAATGATGAAACCTTTGATTTCTTCAAAAGTCACTTTGTAATTAAGTCACAAACACTGACCTCAGTTTGTTCTGAAGAAACATTAAAAACACTAAAAACTGAGGCTTTCTATAGATTTGTTTTCAGTCACTTTTCTTTTCATGTTTTTATCGTTTCTCTTTCGTGCTCATTACATCATGTTTTCTTTATTCAGGTTGTGGGTCTGTGGTTTGTCAGAGATCAGCTGTTCCTCTGTGGCCTCAGCTCTGGAGTCCAACCCCTCACATCTCACACTCCTGGACCTGGGTCAGAACAAACTGTCTGATTCTGATGTGAAGAAGCTCCTGGAACTCCAACAGAGTCCTCACTGTCGACTGCAGACTCTGAAGTGAGTAGTGACTTCTTGGTTCTGTTTTGAGCTCGGAGCAAGTGGCTCAGATGTGACTGTGTTCTAAACCCGAGGCGTGTGCAGTCGAGCCTCTTCAACACTTCATACACAACATGAGGTCATCAGTGCTTTTCATATCAGATAAACCAGACTCTGTATCCTGTGTCTCTGTATCCTGTGTCTCTGTATCCTGTGTCTCTGTATCCTGTGTCTCTGTATCCTGTGTCTCTGTATCCTGTGCCTCTGTATCCTGTGCCTCTGTATCCTGTGTCTCTGTATCCTGTGCCTCTGTATCCTGTGTCTCTGTATCCTGTGCCTCTGTATCCTGTGGTTGGACTGATCTCTTCTTCTTCACAGGTATTCATAATAATCTGCAGCTGCTGCTCAGAGGAAACTGACGACATGGAACAGAAACAGCTGCTCTCTACGAACTGTAATCATCTATAATCTATAATCTATATCTATAGTCTATATCTATAATCTATGTATATAATCTAGATCTATAATATAGATCTATAATCTAGATCTATAGTCTGTCTATAATCTATGTCTATAATCTATATATATAATCTATGTCTATAATCTATATCTATAATCTATGTCTATAATCTATGTCTATAATCTATATCTATAATCTATGTCTATAATCTATGTCTATAATCTATGTCTATAATCTATATCTGTAATCTATGTCTATAATCTATATCTGTAATCTATGTCTATAATCTATATCTATAATCTATATCTATAATCTATGTCTATAATCTATGTCTATAATCTATATCTATAATCTAGATCTATAATCTAGATCTATAGTCTGTCTATAATCTATGTCTATAATCGATGTCTATAATCTATGTCTATAATCTATATCTATAATCTATATCTATAATCTATATCTATCTATATATCTATAATCTATATCTATAATCTATATCTATAATCTATAATCTATGTCTATAATCTATGTCTATAATCTATGTCTATAATCTATGTCTATAATCTATATCTATAATCTATATCTATAATCTATATCTATAATCTATGTCTATAATCTATATCTATAATCTATATCTATAATCTATATCTATAATAATCTATGTCTATAATCTATGTCTATAAATCTAGATCTATAATCTAGATCTATAGTCTGTCTATAATCTATGTCTATAATCTATATCTATAATCTATGTCTATAATCTATGTCTATAATATATATCTATAATCTATGTCTATAATCTATGTCTATAATCTATATCTGTAATCTATGTCTATAATCTATATCTATAATCTATATCTATAATCTATATCTATAATCTATATCTGTAATCTATATCTATCTAAATAATCTTCACACTTTTGGGTTCAAATGGTGGGATTATGATATTGTTTGTATTTACTTTAAATCCACCCTGTGTCATTTTTACAGTTGCTCCAAATAAAAAAAACATGTTAAATAATAATAAATGTGACCTTTTTAAGAATATTTATCTCCACCATGTGTTTTAAATTGTTTTCATAAACTTAGAATTTAACTTATAAACAGTGTTGGGCACGTTACTTTGAAAAAGTAATTAGTTATAGTTACTTTTTGGGAGAAGTAACTAGTAACTGAGTTACTAACGGAGTTACTCCACTATAAAAGTAACTAGTTACCAGTAAAAGTAACTATTGCGTTTCTTTTTCGTTTTGTTCTGGAACATAATGTGCACTCGACGTGCGCATTTTTACCTTTAACCTTTAACCTCAGTGAGTCTGAAATAGTGCTGATATTTCCATCTAGAAAAGTCTGTTTTTCTTCATCTCTCTCTGTGCTGTAAGCACTAAACACCAACACCCGCCACTGTGAATGTGGAAACACCGGTGAAGCACTGACTTCAGCCCAATCAGATGAACATATATATCATATATATATATATATATATATATATATGGACCATATAATATAACCTTCATATAAATCAACTGGACCAAGAGAGCGGCGTATTCACACTTTGTTTGGCTACAGCAGAATATGTTTCATGCATTGTTTGTTCAAACAAAACGCAAAACTATGAGTTATGGGTCTTACCTTATAAATGACCTGCACAGTCCACTTCGGTTCAGACCAGTTCCGTGTTTAAGTCCAGATAATAGTTTGAGCGTAGATATATAATCCTCCATTTGGAAATGAGTCCAATGAGTTTTAAAAAGTAAAACAAAACGCGTGTGTCCTCCATAAACTCCTCTGTTTTGCTGCAGCCGGGTGCATCCAATTTCTAAAACCAACCGTCTAACACTTCACTCTCTTTCTTATCATTCCTATAGTCATTGAAAAATTACCCTAAGTGCATTTTAAATTATCTTAAAATGTGTTTTATGTATGTTAGCCAAACCTGCTGCTGTCCTTAGCAGATAAACCAGGAAGAGAAAGGAGCTTTTCTATGGAATTGTATGCAGCCTTCTGCGCTCACATGAGCTCCTCTGAGGCCTCACGGTGATACAAGCCGTGGTTGAGCGCGATTAAGACCCATATTTGTTTCAGAAACACAATTTATGACCATCCTCTCAACTGTAGACATTGTAAAGGAAATATGTTTTACATCAGCCTCATCCTGTCTTCTCTCATGACAACACGTGCACGAGTCCTATCACGAAGTAAAAAGAGAAGTTCATTGTGCGTCTTGAGTAACGCGCAGTAACGGGATGTAGCAAATGATAACGGCGTTATAGTTACAGTCAAAGTAACTAGTTAGATTACTCGTTACTGAAACAAGTAACGCCGTTATTCCCATCACTGCTTATAAATGTCCATGAGGCTGAGTCCTCTCTGTGTCAATGCACCGTCTTTAAATACAGTGGTCCATAAGGGACAAAAAGGAGAATCTCCTTTTCATTTCACATGAGCTACTGATGTAAAAGAACCATGGAGGACCAGTTATATAAAAGAACCATGGAGGACCAGTTATATAAAAGAACCATGGAGGACCAGTTATATAAAGGAACCATGGAGGACCAGTTATATAAAGGAACCATGGAGGACCACAGTTATATAAAAGAACCATGGAGGACCAGTTATATAAAAGAACCATGGAGGACCAGTTATATAAAAGAACCATGGAGGACCACAGTTATGTAAAAGAACCATGGAGGACCAGTTATATAAAAGAACCATGGAGGACCACAGTTATATAAAAGAACCATGGAGGACCAGTTATATAAAAGAACCATGGAGGACCACAGTTATATAAAAGAACCATGGAGGACCACAGTTATATAAAAGAACCATGGAGGACCACAGTTATGTAAAAGAACCATGGAGGACCACAGTTATATAAAAGAACCATGGAGGACCACAGTTATATAAAAGAACCATGGAGGACCAGTTATATAAAAGAACCATGGAGGACCACAGTTATATAAAAGAACCATGGAGGACCAGTTATATAAAAGAACCATGGAGGACCACAGTTATATAAAAGAACCATGGAGGACCAGTTATATAAAAGAACCATGGAGGACCACAGTTATATAAAAGAACCATGGAGGACCAGTTATATAAAAGAAAAACCCAAAGTCTTAAAACATAATTATATAAAAGGCCGGCGTCATAGCAGCAAAGTGTCAACATCACAAACCACACACACAAAGACAGCGTTAACACAACAGGAGGCACATTGTGTATTTTGTACACAACAGACTCACACAAGAACAACACGTAACTTTCTTCACACTGACAATAATGAGAACGACAATCATCACTGATCATCACTGTATCCTCCCTCATCATCACTGTCTCCTCCCTCATCATCACTGCCTCCTCCCTCATCATCACTGCCTCCTCCCTCATCATCACTGCCTCCTCCCTCATCATCACTGCCTCCTCCCTCATCATCACTGCCTCCTCCCTCATCATCACTGCCTCCTCCCTCATCATCACTGCCTCCTCCCTCATCATCGCTGCCTCCTCCCTCATCTTCACTGCCTCCTCCCTCATCATCACTTAGCCTCATCCTCATCATCACGGCCTCCTCCTCCTCCTCCCTCATCATCACTGCCTCCTCCCTCCCTCATCATCACTGCCTCCTCCTTGGACTGTGTCTCCTACTTTCTTCTGTCTGTTGGACTGTGTCTCCTACTTTCTTCTGTCTGTTGGACTGTGTCTCCTACTTTCTTTCTGTCTGTATACGACGTGTCTCAGCCTTTCTCGTCCTTTGGCTTTATAAAAGACCACCTTGGGTAGCCACATCTGGAAAGTGCTCTCTGAACAATGTTTTGGTTTCTCTGTTCTTATCCCTCCAGCTTGTGGGACCTTGGTCGGTGTGGGGACCTGGGGGCTCGGTGTGGGACCTGGGGCTCGGTGTGGGACCTGGGGCTCGGTGTGGGGACCTGGTGGGCTCCCGTGTGAAGCGTGCTAATGACCCACCGAGTTGTGTGTAGCGGATGATTTGAATCAAAAGCCAAGTACTTGTCAGTGGAGTGGACTTTCTAAGACCCTCAGTCTCTAATTGTCCGTTCTCCAGTATGGAGACCTTACAATATAGAAAGGCCAGTTCACTCTCCTTAGTCATCCTCGCGAGTGAAATTTAATAAAAGGTCCACCGTTAATGTGTGCTCGGGGATATCCAACATGTTGGATTGTTTTGGCCCGATTTCTCTTCGTGTGTGGTGTCCCCCGGGGACAGACGAGCGCGTTGCCATGACTGCAGAGTGTAGCCAATCAGAAGACGAGCCGGCGAGGAAACACCGTTGGATGAATGTATGACGTGTTGTGTAAAGAGTCATCACCGAAATGACAAGGAGAGGAATTGGGCAGAAATTGCTGCTGCACAGGATGTGTTGGCATCAGCCCTGTTCTGACGGGATTAGTACTAAATGATCAGACTGATGGTTGTGTTTGTACGTTTACTTTGCACTCTGTCCTAATACAGTACAGACGTGTTGATGCAGCCGTTACTGCAGTCGTGCTTGTTGGTTTGCACGTATGTAAAGTTTCATGTCTAGCAGTGTGTGTGGTGCGTTCACAGGTAGTCTGTACAAACTGTATTGTTGAACAGCACAGACAGTACGGGCCAGAGAACTGTAGAGCAGTAAAATCCACATGTATGTGTTTGTCCTCATGGTGTCTGTGGCTGCTGTGGTCAGACGAGAGTCTCTGCGTGAAGCAGAGAGGCCAGCACAAAGTCACACTTGATCTCGAGAGATGTTGTGAGATTTCCGGTGACCTGCGAATGCTCGGGGGTGAAATCAGTTCGTGTGTGATGTGTATGGCTTGCGTGATTTTGTCGTGTGGCTGCGCACCACACACTTTACGACCAAAGTGGTTCGACCCGTGAGTTTTTATCTCCGCGTGTGGGGTCTCACACGGAGAAAAAAAATCGGCCGACAATTTTAAAATCATCTCGCGTGAACCAGGCTTAATTTGTCAAAAGTCAGATTTTATCCCCTGAATTGGCTCAGGAATTACAGAGCTATTATTTCTGTAATTGTGAATGTACCGTCATTATCAAATTTCCCAATGATTTGGGAAAACATTTGGACATTTTTCTTTCCCAAAAGAGTCGTATCGGCATTACCCTTGGTCTCGCCTTCCGAATGCCACCTATTGACAATATACGGTAAATTAAGTCAACAGTAAAACAGGACTTCTTTAAACAACAAGTCTATAGTAAAGATACTTTGCTAGTTAGAAACCTTTACAAGTTACATAATGACAAGACACTTATCTCACTTTGCCTGAAGCCTGAACCCGAAGCCCGAAACACCAAGGCTGCGTTGACGCAGCGGCCATCTTCCCGTGGACCCACCCCCTGCAGGACCATCAGCGAGGGACTGGTGCTATGAGTATTGGGTGGCAGCTCTGATTGCCACCCGCCGATCCAGAAATGAAATAATCAAGGGGATGAAAATGACATGACAAGCTACGTATTGCCAGTTTAAGGACTTTAAGGACAATCAACTGTATTTTGTTTCCAACCTTCTGTGTACAGACACGCAGAGATATTCCTGCAGAGTTCTATGGGAACATTACCGTGCTGGCTCCCTCTGTGCAAAGTCACTTCATGTTCTGGCACAAGCAGCGCAGTGCTCTTCACTTGCTGCGGTGAGTTCTTAAATATATCAGTGACTCATTATCACTCATTACTAGCCCCTACTTTAATCAAACAATCAATCAATCAATACTTTATTATCTCACAGATGGAGAAATTCAGTTCGATGATTAAACATCAAGGCCGGCTTAGTATAGTATATTAGTAGAATGTGACGATGAGTGTGACAGACTTGGGAACCTTGACTATTTTGGCACCAATTGTTTTTCCTTGTTTTTTTGTTTGTTGAATGGGGTTGTCACTGGGAAAATATTAGAAACGTCAGGGAGGCTCACATTGAGAAAGGGATCTACGGGCTCAAGATCAAGTACTCAGGCTGTAGAACCAGGACTGAGCCCAAGTGGTGCAGGACTGAGGCGGGTCCCAAGCGGGGAGGGGGGGTGCAGCCCGTGAGTCTGGGCCAGGGGAGACCGTCCACAGGATCGTAGTTACCAGGTCGCTAGTTTGCCTCTGTTGTATCTTCAAACTCTTTTACGGATGTATCCCAATATGGTTTTACTGCAAATAGCAAAATAAATGAATCTGAATCTTAATATTTGTATTTTCCTTGACTAAATGTTGCTGCACTATTGTTGAGGTGTCTGAGAGCTGCTCGCTAAGAGGTCTTTTGGACTTTTGCAGTGCTCACATCTTGCTTGGCGTGTACTCTGTGGAGGACTTGGATAAACTAGTGGGATCCAAAGTGCCCACTCTGAATCCTCAGACCCAATGGAAAGTCAGCAGGAGCAGCACTGGGGTGAGCCTCTTAACACCACAGCTATCACAATCCCTTTTACTGAAGATATAATTTCACATTCTTAAAGATGAAATGGCAAAGTAAATAGCCTCACCATCATTTTTGATGGACAAAAATACTAGTATTACTTTAAAAATACGCTACAAAAAGATGTAACAAGTCTTTTTTTTTCAAGTTGTTCTTGTTCAGAGTACATATTCCTTTGTTACAGATGATCCAGATTGGAAATTCCACCATAACTATCCACAACCTTCCTGCCACCAATGGGTACATACACATTATTGACCAGGTATGGGCTGTGAAGGCATGACATATTACTTACATATTTCTGTCCTGTTTTATTGCATCTTCTGTCATCACCCTTCAGGCTTTGACTCCTGCTCTGAACGAAATCCCCCCAGACCCTCCTACGCTGATGGATTTTCTCAACAAAACCAGCAACTTCAGCCTCTTCAGAAACTATGCAATGGTAAGTGCTCATTTAAGACCATTTACGACTATTCCTACATTACACAACACCTTGATCCCAAATGCTGAGGAGCAAAAAACAGTCACGAAAGCTTGAGTTGTACTAATGTTGTTTGTCACTACAAGAAAAGGAACTGAAGAGTACAACCTTAAACTGTAGTATGTGTGAATGGGTAAACTTTTTAGAAATGTGTTTAGGAATGTATAAAGGTATAAAATGACAATTGTTTACATGTATTTGTTTTGGGGCCCCACTTATAAGGTAATGCAGCTAACCCAAACCCTTATACAAGGCTCTAACAAACTTCAGAAACTAGTATGTAAGTAGCCTGGCCTTAGCCATCCGTAAACTCCGGTCAATCATCATTTCCCTGCATGTACCGTCTGGTTCTAGTCCCAGTGTCTGCAATTACATTAGTTGACTCCCATCCGACCAATCAGCGACCGCGGGAGGCGTGTTTTGTTGGTAGATGTGGGTGACGTCAAGAGTTTGCGCTGAATTGGCCGGTTGTGGAAATGGCGGAGAATGCGATTGTAAAGAAATCCGTTCTGGTTCTATCAAGAAATTGAAGCCGGAGCAAGAGGAATGTTTAGAAAATGTAATTGCTGCAAAGATCGTGGCGCTACTCCCCACGGGCTCCGTTAGCGGCAAAAGAGATGGCTAAAACTAGGCTAAATGCTAACGACTCACTCTGGCAAGTTACATACGTGACGGTAAAGAGAATTGATCACTCCGAAGGATTATCTTTGACCGAAGATTCATTTTTTATATTTTTCTGTTTATTATGTCAAAGCTATTCATAGAATCTCTCTTTTTTCCAGATGTATAATCTTTTTGTCAAGTTCGACATTCGTAACTGGTTCTATCCTAGAACACGGTTCACTCTGCTGCTTCCCACAGACGAGGCCATCACAGAATACATTCAAAGGAAGAACATCACTAAGCTGGTAATGGGAAAATACAGTAATCTTTATTTGTAAGGCACATTTTTTCAGACCAAGGTCACCCAATGCACTTTAAAATGTTCAGAATTCAGATATTCTCCATTCTCTCCACACGGTGATGATGGAAACAAGACGTTGAAAACAACAATTTAATTGCTGCGCCACTGTGCCGCCCGATAAAATATATGTATATATATATATATATATATATATATATATATTTATAAATATAAATACAAATTTAACTTAAAAACATGACTTTGTTTCTCAGTCTCTATTTCACATGTTTAATTCTTGCTGGGTTTTCTACATACAAAGTGTGTGCATGTACAGAACAGGAGTGTGGAGGATGCCATCTCCTTTGCTCTGAACTCTGTCTACAGTCACTTGGACACTAGGAAATCTGTTGCAAGAATGCTGTTCATTGATTATAGCTCTGCTTTTAACTGCCTTGTCCCAGGTAAACTGATTGAAAAACTCATGTCTCTCGGTTTAAGTGTTGCCATGTGTAAATGGATCTATAGCTTTTTAACTGACAGATCTCAGAGAGTGAAAATCAATGACTGTTTTTCAGATGTTGTTTCTGTGAGCACTGGATCTCCTCAGGGATGTATTTTGAGTCCTTTACTTTTTACATTGTACACTCATGATTGTGTGTCTTCCTCAGACTCTAACCTGATCCTTAAATATGCTGATGACACCACCATCATCGGTCTCATCAGTAATAACGATGAATCCTCTTATAGAGCCGAGATCCAAAACGTGGTTCAGTGGAGTAAAACAAACAACCTCC